TGCCAGGTCTTGGTATATCTGCTTTCCATGCTATTTTTTTTAAGGTACTGCTCATGTGGTGCTTTGTCTTCCCGGTAAAATGAGGACCCAGATTGTTGGGGGCAATATGCTGACTCTCTGTAAACCGCTTAGAGAGGCCTGAAAGGCCTATGAAGCGGTATATAAGTCCACTGCTATTGCTATGTAGATTGGGATAGAAAATACTAACTTCACCTATACAGTGATGGAATTGGGTATCACTAACCAAGAAAAAAGTTGAAAGATCATTTTGGGTATCTCAGTGAAGCTAACTATTCAACATTAATCTGTGTTACATTTGCACCTGGAAGAGCTTGCATAATTTTGGTGATCAAACTTGTGTGTTTCTGTATTGTGTGCCTATTCTATATAAGCAATGGGTTATATAGAATATTTGGGATTCTTTAGTTTGGAAAAAGCACCCAGGTCAATCGTTATCCAGTGAAGTTTATTGGAAGAAATTTTGGAACAGATAAAAAAATTATAATGTATAATTATAATATAAACATATAATTAACCTGTGGAATTCACAAAAATGGATGACCATATGTATAGATTTGAATGGCAATTGGATAAATTAATGGCATATGTGTTCATTGTGAGCTATTAATTGTCTTTGAACATGGGAAAATGTGCAAGTCAAAATGGTAGAATGTCTTATTATACTTTTGATGAGAAGCTCATGATGCTCCAGCATGCAAAAGATAAGATCTAAATTTTGATTAGAGTTACAAATAATTGTACAATTTCTTTCCTATATGCATATAAAAACTTCAAACAAACTGCTAGTGTCATAACACAAGTACATTATTATTCACACCTGTGATAATAATAGTTATACAAATCTTCAGCTCATTCACAAAAAAATATTATAATGCAATTCTTATAAATTAAATGAATTTACACTAGATTGTAAGCATTTTTAAGTTTGTATTTTTACTTATTCAAACTGGATAACAAATCAGATCAATATGACTCAATTTTAGTAAACCCTCAGTTTAATCAATTAATGAGAAGAAAGCATGTCTATTAGAACCAAATATTCATTAAATGCACTGATGTTTGCTAAATTGAAGTCTTGTAAATCAAGACTTTACTATTCTTAACTGATAGGGCAAAAACAACATCAATTCATGCATGGAAATGTCCAAAAATTGTCAGAATTGGTTTGGAGGCTTCAGTTTAACAGTCTGAATTGATTTTCTGATGCCATTCAAAGAATTAGTTCACTTTGGAAACGCAATCAAACTGCTTTTGAAGAGAATCTGCAAACTGAATATTCACACAGAGCTGGGGACTGGATGGAATTTCAGTCATCTATGGCAACTACTCGAGTTTTTGAGCTGTGATAACATACCTGGCTGATTTAAGGGGAGGAGGATTGTATTTTACTATGTGAAAAATGACTGATATACATTATTCCTCATCTAAAGATTAATAGCTTATTTTACTAATGCCTCTGTTCACGACTGATGATAGCTGTAATGTTATTTCAACCAGCCAATCAAATTAATTTTCTGTCATTTCCCTTCAGGAATCCTAGATTACTGAAGAAAACTACCAATTGGTACTTTCCATGTTTTTTAAAGCAATGCTAACAGTTAACACAAATGATGATTTATACATGTGATGATTTATATCAGAAGTGGGGAACCATCGCTCTTTTATGATTAGTGGACTGGCTCAGGAATTCTGGTACTTGAAATCCACAAGTTATAAAAGGGCCATGGTTCCCCACCCCTGATTTATATGAAATTATTTTCAGAAACTAAAATGGTTGCTTGTGATTTCTTTTAAAGTTAATCAGCCACAATCATTCCATTTAAGAAGTACCATGTAGTATATGTATTGGCATCTTTTTCTTCTGGATCCAAATCTAACTACTTTATAGTGGTTTGAATTTCTGATTTGTGACAAAAATAAGACCTGCTAACTTTTGTACAACAAAATAGATCTGATCATAGTATAATTATGGAATTATTTATACTCTTAAAATAGCAATGTTCAACAACAGAGAAATAGAAACTTTGAAGATCTCAGAACATTTTGGTTTTATGAAAAATTGAATATATAAAAAAGACCCAGCAAAAGCCTAAAATGAAAGAAATATGTTTCATTCTTACATCCCAAAAAACCTCCTTAACATGTTAACTGTCCCTGTTCTGTCACCTGTTTTAAAGTTAACAAATGCATGACATATAATAGAAGATTTATAAATTTAAAAAACCACCCCTTTTAAGTAATATTCTTTAAAGCTTACTTTTTGACAGTCATACTATTTGCTCAGTAACTGTAAGAGGCGTATTTTTTAAGAAAATTGTGAATAAAAACTGACAAGCTATCAAGAGAATCTGAATGCATAATTGATAGGGGCATAAATTAATATGATTAGGCCTTTATTGGGCACTGTTACTGCCAGACCTACAAAAGGGGCACAGAATAAAACATGGCTATGTTCTTTGTGCTGATAGGCATCAATATGTAATGCATATTATCTCCAGCCTTCTCATGAAGCTTGCTTATGACAGCACTCACCCTAATTGAAATTTTTATCTTTCTCCTGCATACAGACAGTTCTGACTAGCAGCTTGCATGGATACAGAAAGAAAATCTAAGTGACCCCAATGAAGGTTTCTTTAGAGGTATGGATTTAAAAAAGAAATCCACACAAGTACTTTTAACATTTATGGTTTACCTTGTCCTGTTAAAGATGATCCTAGTTATGCTTTCTATATTGGGGGGAAAAAACCTCAAGGATGTTATAGATTTCTGCATAAAATGTATATTCTGCATTCATAATTTTGATTAAAATTATAATTGCATTTGCATTATATTAATCTTGGAGGGTTGCTGTAAAAACAGATGACCATTATTAAGGTGACCAAGATGAAAATTAATGCAAACAAGGTTGAAATAGTTTTCATTTAGTAACAACAGTTGGGACCAGTGAAGTAGTCACTAAGTGAAACTACAACTATATTTATGATCCTATTTCAGTTTTCCTTTGCTCCACGTACCTGCAAAGATCAAGCTATTATATTTAAAGCCTTTCATGAACATAGGAATCTTCAGGGACATTTTCATTCAATTGTCTGTACCTATCTGATATGATCACATAGAAGAGACTTCCTTTAGCACTCTTACTTTCTGGGACCTTTGGGGTAAGCCTTTTCAGTTGCTGCTCCTTTTTTTTAATAGTATTCCTCTGTAGCTGAGTATGGCTTTAGGAAATCTATTAAATTCTGACTTTTCCAGCAGGCCTTGGGGATGTACATGGCATGAAGTACACCATGTTTCAGTATATTTCAAATCAAGTATCCACTGGAGTCAAATGACAATTCACTCTAGTATTTTACCAAGAAATACTTGAAGCTGACCCTCACAACAACTCCTCTGCCCTGCCAGAAGATACCCAAGAAGCTATTGAGGAAGAGCCGAGGGCAATCACAACTAATACTTCTGCATATGATGTAGCTGCACTGGAAACATCCAGCAATTGTTGTGGCCAAAGGCAAAGAGAAGTCTGATGCTGCACCATCTATGTTAATGATCTGTGGAATGTCAAAACTGAAAACCAAAACAAGCCTAATGTTGTACCTGAAGAAGTATAAAGACTGATCATGGATGTTCATTATTAGACACGAGTATGCTGGATCATTTAATATAAGGAAAGTATCAAATAATCCACTGGTGACAATAAAATCATAGAAAAAAATAAAATAGCCATCATTATTAATAAAGGAATGTCAAAATCAGAGCTCAGATGCAAGCTCCAAGATGATTGAATGATCTCAGAGTCCAGTGCAAGCCAATCATTATTATGGTGATCTACATCAATGCTCCAGTCACAGATACAAAGGGAACCGATGCAGAATGGTTCTACAGCCACCTGCAGTATCTTATTGACACAACCAAGACATCATATTGACTACAGGAGAGTGGAATGCTAAAACTGAAAGTAAAATAGCAAAACAGAAATGTCATGAGTTAATGGGAAAAACGCTGTTTCTCTTTACTACCTTTAAGGACCTCACCCTTACCTTATTTGGGGAATTGTCTCATTTTTTAAGTTCTCAGATGAAATGGAAGCTATGGACACATGAAGGAATAGAAGAGTCAAAGGAGAAAAGGAAAGGGGATGCTCAAAAAGATAAAATGAGAAAAGTGATATATCTGCCTGCATAGGTAACAAAAGAGTGGCAATGGCTGGTCGGTGCAATATGGAACTAAGGCAACAAAATGTCACACCTGATGTCAACTGACATCCCCTTTGCAACCCGGATACATGCTGGCAAAGTGAAACCAATGGAGCCTAAAAAGACTTGGGAGATTGACAACTATGATAAAGCTTCCCAGATTCTCCATTAACCAACCCATAAATAAATAAGATGCTGGGTCCTTAAAGATGACTCCAGAGTGTTGAGTGTGGTCTAAATGTAGGCATTTTGGAGAATTTGGGCAGTGAAAACTGGAATCCAGGAACAAGCAAGACCTATATATAGCCTAGGTGTTAGCATTCTGAAGGATTGACTGATGAAGACTCTAGGAAAAAGAAAATCTAGGATGGCACCTACTTAGTTTGTAGTCTTTCAGATTACATTATAATACTAACCAGTAGAATAGTTTCTAACTATTGCCAAGATGTATAGGGACACTTTTAATGTAAGTTGGTTCTTAATTGCTTGTCAATACAAGCAGTTGTTACTTTTAAATTAATAAAGACCTGGCAGTTAAATATTCAATGACCTAAGATATGCTTATTTGATATAGTCAGAAATGAAAAAATGGATTCTTTGACACCAGAAAATAGCCACAGCTTTAGAGGGCTCACTTTGTGGTTCCAGAGCATTATCTCTTCTGCTACTCACCAAAGAAAATGACAAACGTTATCCTTCCTTGGTAGCATAGGACCATTCAAAATATGCAAGTCAAGAAAGTTTGTTGTAAAATCTTCTCAGTGTTAATATTTTCACTCAGTGAAGCCTGTCAAGCAATTTAACACAGTGACAAATCCATAATATCAAAATGAAAGATTTTTACATGTTAGTTAAATACTCTAAATGAATCCATGCTTTTGCAGGCATCATTTATCATTTATGGAAAGTTGCTGAGTAAATCCTTTGGACTTTATACCATCACATTCATCCTTGTTCCAACTAATGTAATTCAAGCACAGTATTGATATTTCTCTCTAGGTTTTTAAAGGGGGAGGAGGGGTGCCCCATCAAATGCAAACTGTTGGCTAGGCTACGTTTGATGCAAGTTTTATATTTATCCTCTCATAGAGGTATGCAGAAGATGTACTTAGCCATATTGATCTTTGAGGAAATGTAGACAAAATAGATAATGTGAAACTTTTATTGTCATTACTAACTGTTATATAGGATCTTATAAAAAAATAATAAAACCATTTAACTAGATTTGTTGTAATACTTTTGCTATGTTGTTAACCTGCAGCTGCCAAATTAATTTCCCTGGAGCAACACATTATAATAAAAAGAAAAGTGTATCAAAAATAAGTGGTTTAAGAATGTTGAGATACATTGCATTTAAAATGGAAATAAGTTAAATAATATATCTTTACAGTGGAATATCCTGCAGAAAAATGAAGAGAATGCAACATCCATTCCTTTGATAAAATGTTGTTTTCAAACAGATTCTAGCAAGATGAATCTCCTTTTCAAAAGTGGAAATTAGCAAGGGAAGAAATACTAATAGATTATTTAAATAAAATTAATAACATTGGTAGACATTGCTATACATTAAAATGAATTTCTTTGAATTTTAACAGTCCAAATAAAGAAAACGGCCAGTTTATTTCCAGGATAACTATAAAACAAAATTATAGTTACCATTTTTTTTTTTTTTTGCCTTTACTGACACTTTTCAGTTAATTCAAACTGTCCCAAGGTCAACGGATCTTTTAGAATTAAAGTGTTCTAAAGATTTATGCCTCCTTCATAGATCTTGGACTAATTTAAATTTCCCCAAATTTTAAACCTTAAATGTGTTGATTTCAGTTTGAAGAATTCTTAGCTATGATCATTTTGACCAAAAGATCATGGAAACTTAAATCTATACATTTGATGGCGTGGTTTGTTGGGGCAAAGCTAGTTTAAAAAGCAAACTACATATTGTTTTATAATCATGAACAAAGCAAATGCAACAATTCTAAATAAATGTATAAATTGGCTCCATTGAAAAATAGCATGTTTAAGGCATTATGGAAGTTTTTTTTTTATTTGTAATGATTTCCTCACAGATTGCTGGAGATTTACTATTAACACATTGTTAGAGAGATAGGAAGACACCTTATAAAAAGTTAAATCACACATATTGTTTGCCTCAACCTTTAATGATCAAATATTTAGAGTTTCAGGAGCTCTGTCAGAAGTGTTGAGACTGAACTTTGGCCCTTGTCCATTAAAAGCACATCCCATAAACTTTCCTTCCTAATGGCTGAAATGCTCAAAAATGATAAATAACCCTAGAATATGTTAAGATGTTCAAGCATTACTTCCATTTTTATAAAACCTAATAAATTGCATGCGTTGGTGAGAATCTCTATAGCAAAGTGATCAGAGAGCTAGACATGAATCATACTAACTGGCCATGGAAATATAAAATTCATTAGGTGGCATTGAGCCAATTACTGTTGCTGAAGATCAAATAATTTTGCAAAAATAAAAATGAACGATCTTATAGTATCTATGCCAGTCAGAAACAGGTAGAATGCAATAATAATAATAATAATAATAATAATAATAATAATAATAATAATAATAATAATAATAATCAGATGGTCAAGATCTTGTGGGATTTCCG